CTAAGGGAATCAAGGTTTTCTCGGTATCTGCACTCGCCTACATCTCATCGAGAAGTCGCATTCAGAAAGACACTCCTATCCTTGACGACGACACGGCCGGTATCTATGCGTTGAGACATTTCCTAGCTACGTTGTCGGCAGCCACCAACTATCGGAATTTCTACGACCATGTCCACGAAACGCTGCCATCATTCCGAAGACAAGCTGAACGACCTTTGGAGAAGCACATAGAAGACAAGAGTTATGCTAAGATGCGACGCGACTTGAAGGCTCAGATCCAACCACTTAGGAACAACTTGAAGAATCTGGCTGACAGCCCCCTGCATTCTCTGGTAGGAAAGCCTTGGTCCCAAAACGAGGAACAGAGTATCATAAGTGGCATACAGCAGCTGGTGCAGAACTCATGGGTCCATCCCTTGATCTACTACCCGGGCTTTGCAAAGATGCTCGCGGAGAACGGCAAACCAGTCTCCGGAAAGTATAAGGGTTACAACATGAACTATGAGCTCCTTGGTACCATGAAAAGGTTTCTGGACAATTGGTATAACAACTTGAACGCCAGCACCGTGGAATTCGCTATGAGCCTGTACAGGGTGCTTCAAAAACTGTTGCAGGAAACTCGATCGGCCATCACCCAGTCATCTGCACACCCGGCTCTGAAACTAAGAGCTACTGAAGAGTTGGCTCTAGTAGAACGACGCGTCCAGGCGGCATATGACATGTTGCTCGCTAGTCTTCGCGTCTCGCTTGGAGAAACTCATCTACGATTCACCACGGAGATCGACATCTACTGTCCAATAGCAACTGCAATGAAGGCCTCCTACGACCTAGCCTCCGATCGAAACATGGTTGGCGCTGGCCCAGGAATCTACAACAGGCAACGACAAGCGCTACAGAACTCGATCATCGGCAACCCAACCTATGGGAACTACGGCTATGGCCCGCCTGGCGAGGCGTTGCGTCCACTTCTCAAGAATATCGAAGAAAAGCTTCAGGCCCAGCAGAGAGACGCGTGGAAGACCGATTGCGATGCCTTTGTCACCAGCGCTGTTGAGCTTATTGAGGGATTCTCAAACACTGCTGAACAGCTTCTCATGAACTCCTCGTATGTGACTGAAGAGCACAAGCAAGCTCGTGGCGAGTTGCGGAAGCTGCTTAATGACTTCGATATCAGCCTTGAAGATGTTCAGAGTCGATTTGTCGGCGGAGAAGAGGAGCATACTGAGAAGAAGATCAAGCGTGAGGAGACGGAAGACGAGGCATTAGTCGCATCATCTGCTCCCGACCCGCTGATCCCTTCAGTACCGATCTCGCAGAATGAAGGTTGGACTCAGTTCCGCGAGTGGTTTGGTGGCGGTCGCCCTGGACAGTGATAGTTAACTGCGTTCTGTCTTGACTTGCGCACTGCACATCTATGCGACACATGATTTCCTTTTCTACTTTCATTCTTATTTTTGCGACACTGTTTTCTTTCCACACTTTCACGACCCAAAGGTCCACCAGCTCGGCAAGCGACCATCATTACCTCTTCTTCATTCTTGCAAGCATCATCGATGCCCCGGCGAGCATTTAACGTGTACGGGATAGAAACACCATAGCTTCTGCGTATCTAGTCTACTTAGTACTCAATTGTATACCCTTGTACAACATCCGTCTGTGCCCACATGCGCCACAGTGGTACTTGAATGCAAGGCGCATACGCGTCGCCGAAACATAGGTGATACGCAGACAGCGGGTTTCCGGTAGCAGGCGAGGCTGATTAGCGCATGTACCCGCTGTGAAAAACGTCATTCTGGGGTATCAAGGCCCGCAAATGAATTGACTGCCGTGCAGTTCTACGTGTAACAAGCATGCGTTGCGTGAATCCACGATGAGTAACTCGACTGCGCGGCTTATCGCAAAGTGAAAGGTGTCGAGATGATCTACGCTGGACCCTGGCCATCTTAGCGTTGCCTCCGCGACAGCTCTCCGCAAGCATCCCCTCCCACATCATCCTACACCGGGGATCGGATTTCCCAATTGGCTCTATTCTTTCGTTTGTACAAACATATGCTGTACTTCATGTTCGCTTCATTATTACCCGCCCGTTTGATATAATCGAGGTCGTCCTCTCCGCCGTACGCGCGTACACGTAGCCCTCGAGGCAGTTGCGCATCCATCCAGCAGTCGCCATGGTCGCCCCTCGGAAAGCCGCGCTCCTGGAGGAGAGCGCGGAGGTCGAAGTGCTCTTCGCCAACATGGAGAAAATGAAGACGCTCACAAAAAAGATCCAAGGCTCCGTCAATAGGCTAGACGCGAGCGGAAAGGCAGTCCAGGAAGCAATCGGCCCAATCTACGGCAACACACAGAAGCTACAGATTGCAAACAACAACGTCGACCGTATAATAGACGCAATCGACCGCCTTCGAGCCCCGCGCGAAGAAAGTGCAAAGGAAGAGAGGATTATCCGCGCTGGACCTGGACGAGGAGACCTGGACGGCTACATTGCTTCGCTCGACCGCACCAATATGAGCCTCGCAGACCTTAAGCGCACCAACCTTCGCTCCAACGAACAGGCCATTGCAGAGCTTAGCGGGCTCTTGAAGTTGGGCAACAAGCAGTTGGAGGATGTGTTCCGCGGTATACTGCAGGATAGCGCGAGAGAAAAGGTCCAGGCATTGGAATATGTCGCGAAGCGTATGTCGCCCATATGCTACGACTGGGGAGATACTGACACTGCATAGAAAACCCCTTCCCTCGCATGCCCCAAGATAAGCTCCAGAGCCTGCGCAGCATCAACTCGCACATTTCCAAGTCCTTCGCGCAGTTATCGCAGATCGATCTTTCGCAGACCCCCACACGAAGAATATACGCAGACGTCCGGGGCGAATACCTAGAGAGTGCACTGAGGAGTCTCATGCAGGCGACCATCAGCACAGCCAGGAAGGTACAGGCAGATGCGCTGTACAAGAAGGGTACTAATGGTATCGGCACATACGTCCAAGCGATAGAGGGCCTGTTCGTGGCGGAGTTCGACAACCTGAACTACGTCTTTGACAGAGAGGAATGGGCCGATGTCTACGAGTCAACGTGCCAGGTCCCGCTGCAGGACTTTAGCAAGACCCTACGTGAGCTGAACGGGCATATTCAGAAGAACCTGCTGACGGACTGCTTCCTTGGATACGAGATTTGCGGGTTGGTCCGGACTCTTTCGATGCGGCTGCAGAAGCAGACTGGCGCCCTGAAGGATCAGATCTACGACAGTGTGAAGCCGGTTCGGGAGACGTCGAAAACGTCTCTGAGCAAGATGCTCGAAGATACACGGTCAAAAACACAAGGTCTCATTGCGCTTCCCATCGACGGCGGTCCGGTGGACATTACAACGCAGACGATGCGACGCTTGCAAGAGATGACCAACTACCTCGAACCTCTCGCTTCGATATTGGCATCTTTGGGAGAGGGCGGTTGGAACTCTGGATCGGCTAACAACTCATCCACGACTTTGGATGTTGGCCCCGACGGCGTGAAGCTGTTCGGGTCATATGCGGCGGATACTGTCGACACACTTTTGCAGAATCTAATTGGCAAAGCAAAGACACTACTGAAGGGCAAGAACCTACAAGGTGTCTTCATGGCCAACAATATCGCTATCATCACACGCATCATTCGCTCTTCAGAACTCGCACCGCTCATGGACAGCTACTCCAAGAAGCTGGCAGACTGGCGTAAGCAAGGCACGGCCATGTATCTTGAAGCGTGGCGTGAGCCGTCAGGGTACCTGCTGGACGTGCAGTACACGAACCGTAGCAAGGAACGCCCAACCTCAGGCGGTGCAGATTCGGCAGCTATCGTAAAATCTCTCAGCTCCAAGGACAAGGATGCAATCAAGGAGAAATTCAAGAACTTCAACACAAGCTTCGACGATCTCGTCACACGACACAAGGCGTACGCAATGGAGCCCGAAGTGCGGAACCAGCTTTCCAAGGAAGTACAGAACATCATCGAGCCCCTGTACAACCGGTTCTACGACCGCTACCGGGAGATCGACAAGGGGAAGGGCAAGTACGTCAAGTACGACAAGACCGAATTGAACAGGGCATTGGCGAGCTTTGCATAGCGAGGTGCTGCGGTGTTGGATTGGAGTTGTTTGCTTGGGACATGCGCAAAATACCCTTTGATTTGCATAGATAAGACGATGGACTGGATATGAGTATGCCGATGGTCGGGATGGACGCGATGTAATTGGATAGGTGTCGAGTCTCACATCCCGCGTCCTGTGGTGCCACGCTGCAGCAGCGTGAGCGGCAGCCTCGGGGTGCGACAGCGGTGTCAGGGTTGAGGCAGACAGTCGTGAGGAAGCAACGACCGCTTAATGTCTAGTCAACGCGTTGCTCGTGCCTTCTAATTACCCACACGTGACGCTACCTCTTTGGGAAGCACGGTTCGCGACTGCCTCTTGCAGCAGTGCACAAGAGCACAAAATCTCCAACAACGTGAAAGGTGTCAACTGCATCCCTCCTACACCCTCTCTCACCCGCGCAGCTCCCACTCGTCGTGTGTTATTTCCAGCGGTATTCGACGCCGGCTCGCTGCTAGTGGTGACGCGGGGATTTTTGGTCTAGTGCCCATTGCTTCGGCGTTGCTCCAATCGCGCCCATCCCTGTGCGGACCCCTTTCCTCCACCCAGCGACGGACGGCACCACGACTTCCCTTTCCAACGTCGCAGCCTCCGGACAACCACGCCATTTTCCTTCGCAGCCATCTGCACCACCTTCAATTCATTGCTTTGAGTGCATCACTCACTCGAGAGCATAACTACCGCTGACTGGTACGCCGCCCTTCCCTCACGCCTGTCTCACTTTATTTCTCCCGATCTGGGCTTGGTCGCGTTGTTACATTTGTTTAGCAGCCACGCAGCCAGCACCAGCACGCATTGAGAGCCTCCGCTGACATCGCTTCCTCATCTGCAGAAGTCCCTCACTTGACGACCCATCGTCCGTTTCTACTACACTATTTACACCATGGGTAAGGAGCTCTCCCCGACCCCCGTCTCGCGACATCAACAACTACACCTCAGCCACGGCATCATTGGCACCTCAGGCACACACGCGGTGGCTCTTGGGCAACGCCAAGCAGGGTCAAACCTGTTTGGCATTGGTCGCTGCTGCCGCGCTCGACGGCCATGATTTCTCTCCCCTGGCCCCTGGCTAACATTCTGCTGTAGAATCCAACGGTGCTACCTCTCCCGCGCCGCCCACCCGTGCGTCTCCATCGCCCCCAGCGTCGTCCAGTGGATACGGCATGGATCAAACGATGTCGATGTCTAACGGCTCCTCTCCAGCGGTGCACACCATCACGGCGAAGAACCCCAAGGCCGCAGCTGCCATGGCAAACGACATGAACATCGTGCGCAGGAAGCTCACAGGCTACGTTGGCTTTGCGAACCTGCCCAACCAGTGGCACCGCAAGAGTGTGCGCAAGGGATTCAACTTCAACGTCATGGTTGTCGGCATGTGTACCCCCGCCCAAGTATTGTCCATCCGAGCTAACGTGTCATTTCAGGCGAGTCTGGACTCGGAAAGTCGACCCTTGTAAACACGCTCTTCAACACTTCGCTGTACCCGCCCAAGGAGCGCAAGCCCCCCAGTCTCGACATCTCCAAGACCGTATCGATCCAGTCGATTAGCGCCGATATCGAGGAGAACGGTGTCCGCCTGAGGTTAACAGTAGTCGACACACCCGGCTTTGGCGACTTCATCAACAACGATGAGTCCTGGGACCCCATTGTCAAGAACATTGAGCAGCGCTTCGACGCCTACTTGGATGCTGAGAACAAGGTCAACCGCATGAACATTGTCGACAACCGCATCCACGCCGTTGTTTACTTCATCCAGCCCACTGGCCACTCCCTGAAGCCCATCGACATTGAGGTCATGAAGAAGCTCCACACCAAGGTCAACCTGATTCCCGTCATTGCCAAGGCCGACACCGTTACTGACGATGAAATTGATAACTACAAGAAGAGGGTACGTCGCTTCATCTGCCTATCTAGCACTGCTAACAAGTACAGATTCTTGCAGATATCGCCTACCACAAGATCCAGATCTTCGAGGGCCCACGGTATGAGCTTGACGACGAGGAGACCATTGCGGAGAACCAGGAGATCATGGCCAAGGTTCCCTTCGCCGTTGTCGGTTCCAACACCGAGGTCACGACTGTTGACGGCCGCAAGGTCCGCGGGCGTGCGCTGCCCTGGGGTGTTGTCGAGGTCGACAACGAGGAGCACTGCGACTTTGTCAAGCTGCGCCAGATGCTGATCCGCACCCACATGGAGGAGCTCAAGGAGAACACTAACAACGCTCTGTACGAGAACTACCGTTCCGAGAAGCTTGCACAGATGGGTATCCAACAGGACTCAAGCGTGTTCAAGGAGGTCAACCCTGCCGTGAAGCAAGAGGAGGAGCGCTCGTTGCACGAGGCCAAGCTCCAGAAGATGGAGATGGAAATGAAGATGGTGTTCCAGCAAAAGGTCCAGGAGAAGGAGAGCAAGCTGCGCCAGAGCGAAGAAGAGCTGTACGCCCGTCACAAGGAGATGAAGGACCAGCTAGACCGACAACGACAAGAGCTCGAGGAGAAGAAGGCCCGCATCGAGTCTGGCAGGCCGATCGAAGAGAAGGGCAAGAGAAAGGGTTTCTCTCTCCGCTAAGTCGACACCCTGGCGCCACCCTCGTCCCTCCCCTCCCGCTCCGGACGTCACGCGCCTCTCAGCTACCTCTTCTCAGTTCTCTACACCCTCTTACCAGACCTTGTTTAATATAATGCGGCCGACGATACCACTGGGTGCTATCGGTAAAAGGGATAATACACCACGATGGAACATTGGGGACGAAGCACAGCAGTGTTACCTGTTGGTGCCGTCGTCCGGATTGTTGATTGATACCAACGTCTTTGCGCTCCTTTCTGATTCCCTTGCTTCACTTCGGCATTTTCTCTTATTTAGTATTCGGCAGATGTAGTTCGGAGCGAGGAGTGTCGGACAGGTTCTTTTCATGTATTCTACAGACTATCATAAGGCAATTTCATTTGTGGGCTAAAAGCGAAACGCGGCACTGCTAGTGATGTTTCCCAACAAACAAACGAAACTTTGCGAAGAAACAGGAGTGACGACATCGTGCTTGCTGGCCAGACACTTGCGAGCGAGCGTGTGAAGAAGCCGGCAGCTGGAGGCCTTGCTGGCGGCTGAGAGATCGTCAGGGTTATGTTTGCGCTAGAGGTGCAGTGGGGCTTGTGCCTACCCAGAATTGCAGCTTGCCATGTCGTCACCCCCCAAACGCCCGAATTCTGGTTTACTGCCGCCCGCATTCCTCCCTCTCTAGGAACACACAACCACCATTACTCTGCTCTCATTCCCCTGCGTCTTTACTCTCCGCACGCACTGAGCACCGTCACTGAGGTCCCGGACCCGATATCTGCATCGGTAAGTCGACCCCGCCTATCAGGCACGGCGAACATCACGAGCGGGCCCGAACGCTGGGCAGTTCCAGCAGTTGCAGCACCCAGCCACCGCTGTGGACACATTGCACCTCCACTTCCTTCCACGGGCAGCAGATCATTGCTGTCATTTATCTCTCTCTACATTGGGAGCTGCCATTATCTTTCCGACCTTTGCTGACGTCCCAAGCTACCCATTACGTAGCCCACACGACAATACCCAAAATACACACAATGGCCCCTCCACCGCCCGCCTCTATGCCTCTGGGCCAGCGCCTTGCTGCCCTCGCCCAGACTCTGCAGTTCGCTTGGTTCGCCGGACACGTTACGCTGCTGCTCGCTACCCTGCGATACAGCTTGTCGTACATCACCTTCAACTACTACTCGCGATGGGCGTCCTTCTCCTACCGCACCGCCTTCCTGTCGGCATGCGTCACATACGGCATTGTCGTCTACAAGGCCTACCGCGCCCGCATGAGGGCAGGCAAGCAGGGTGGTGTCGTCGCTCTCGCTACCGATGAGAACGTCCAATACTTGAGTAAGTCCTCTGCGAGCTATCGCCTCGTCTCCGCGCAGCACGTGCTAACCGCCTGGTAGTCATGGGCCTTGTGTGGCTCTTCTCCCGCCAGATCCCCCTTGCCATACTCCCCTTCTCCGTATACTCCGTCTTCCACGTCGCTACCTACGTGCGCTCCAACCTTCTGCCCACCATCCAGCCCCCACCTGCGGCTGCGGCCGGCGCCAAGCCGCAAGGCTCCGCTGCCTCCGAGGCTATTGGCAAGTTCGTCAAGGAGTACTACGATGGCTCCATGACTCTTGTCGCCCTGCTCGAGATCTTCCTGTGGTTCCGCGTCCTCGGCTCTGCCATGCTCTTCCAGAAGGGCTCCTGGATCCTCCTCGCTGTCTACACCGTCTTCTTCCGCGCTCGCGTTGCGCAGAGCAGCTTCGTCCAGGAGGCCATCAACCAGCTCACTGCCCGCATTGACGCTCAGCTTGCCAACCAGAGCACTCCTCCCGCTGCTAAGCAGGGCTGGGGAACCTTTAAGAACATTGTTCGCCAGGCTGCTGATGCCACCGACATCCGCAGGTACGTTGGTGGTCAGCCCGGCGCTGCCCCCAAGAAGGCCCAGTAAGCGTTTCGCTCTGTTTACAACGATGTGCCTGCCTCCAATAGCGCACGACAATATACGTGTTGGAGGATCATGGTGCGAATCTTGACGACGGTACGGCAGTCATGACGAAGAAGACAATAGACATGTTTGCGTCGCTTGTGGACGATGAAAGGAAAGAAAAGTGCGTGAGGTGGAATCTGGTCGTTTAACGATATCCCAAATGTGCGAGGCTAGTTCAGTCTGGAGTGGATGGTAGGATGGTAGGATAGTAGTATGAGTTGGACGGTTAGGTGATCGAGGTGGTTTGAGTGTTAAGAAGGGTTGACTACTCCTTGTATTCATGGAGAAGCGTGGTGTTTTTGGTCGGTTATCATGTTCGCTATTGCAGTACAAATCAATGTTCGTTATCGTTACTGCTGCTTATTTATGCATGTGATTTGGCTGGACAAGGTGTCTTGAAGGGTTGCGGACTCCGCGCATGTTAGTTGTCATGAGATTGATGCTTTGTTGTCGTTGTCCCTTCTCATCACGATGCTCTGGCACCTTTGCTCGATGCCGTGGCCATACATTTCTGTCAACAGCTTTTCCACCCCAATTGATTTTTCCAACTAGACCTGTCCAAGCGACCATGTAGTCAGTCTTGAAGCTTTGCTCTTCCGGTATGGTACAGAAAACGTCGCGTATACGCGGTGACGCTTCCGATGTGTCATGGTATGGAGGTTCAAAGTTACTGGTAGTTATATCAGTGATAGGGACGAGAAATCAAGCCGGTGTAGATGCTTTGGAACGTGAAGATGGAATTAAAGTTGGAAGTTACTATCCATCTAGAACGCAATGCAATGCCATGGTAATCGCTGACCCGTGCGTTCATGTGCCAGGAGGTTAAAACAACCCAAATAAGGCCCACGAGTCAAGGGGGAGGAGAAAGAATCCCGCAACGTGGTCGAGTGAATGTATCAACTGCCGATATCGATAGATTCATGGTTAGCAACGGTCATCCATTTTTCGGATCTCCCAGCAGCGGCAGCATACATTGTAGACGATAATACATCCGCGTGCGGATTCTGCGGTCTCGTAGGGTCATGTCTTCACCGTATCTTTGCTAAGCGTACACACTATAACTACATACACCGTACACTCCTACATGCTGTATGCTGCTATATCTATGTCATTGTATGACACCATCACGTACCTGCGACTTGGCATGAATGTATGTGTTGTCAGCCTTGAGCGATAAAAAGAAAGTATCACCGCCTGACTGCCGATATAGCCGTTTGTTGTTGTTGTCGTACGTTTATGTGCGTTTTGGGATGTGGTGTAGTGTGGAAACGATGCGGGGCCAACCGACTTTGAGGAAGAAGGAAATACGTTGTTGAGCTGGAGCTGGAGCTTGGGGAGGTGGAGTGAATATGTGTATGCTTGTATTGGCTGTCAAGCAACAATCGGAGACTGGGATCGTGACTGAAGATCTTGGTAGTGATGGTGACGAGACTACTAGTTGGGACTAAACATGATGTTCACCAAATGTATTGACAAACACTACTTCAAAAAGTCATTGTACCTCCTGCAGATACAACGATGTAGATGATACCGGATGATCTCCCAGCGAGAAGAACGTGGTGTGTTGTTGCTTTTTGCGGACTTCGGCCCGTTGACGGGAGGGAAACGTGCATCGTGATGGAGTTGCTATAGGTGCTATGACGAGACTCAGGCATGTGTGGCTTATCGTTTTAGCGAAGACTTAATCGTGCCGTTAGTTGCTTTACAGTATGTGATGCTAATAGATGTGTGTATCGTGTTCACAAGTATGTAGAATGAGGTTGTGAAAGTGTCAGGAACTGCGCGAGCTGGCGAGTTGTTTAGCTCGCGTGATCTGTGTACATGATGACTGTCGTCTCAACGGGACCCTATCGGCTCTCAGCTATACTTCGCCTATGCTCTAGGCGCAGGAGCATAGTCCATGGAGTCCATAGTCCATCGGCCTGTCATGGAATCCAGATGAGTGACTACATGGCTTGCCGTAGCTGGATCTAGGTGCAGTCTGCGCTCCTCACAACTGCAACCCGAAGCATTTGGAATCCGCGCCCATAGTGTTGAGCATGCAGGTACACCACCAGCTGCCATAGTCATGAAAACCCCCACAGGAGTCCGTGTGACTGTGGTGGAGGATCTAGACGCGGTCGTCCTCTGGCGAGCTAAGAAGATCGAGAACAGCTAGAATCTTCGGGAGGACCCTACGCCACAGGATGACGCTCTCGAACCAAACGGGTGTTCACAGTCTAGAAGAAATGTGCAGAGGTAGTTTACACTCTTGTGTTTCAGAAGATTCCGGCGTTGATGATTTGAACAAATGGTCACTGGTCGTGGCTTGCCGGCCATAGGAGAAAGCCGGTAGCGTCCATCGGTGAGCCATGACATCTGTCAGCGTCCGTGAGCCAATCCTCGGACTTGTGAAAGTGTCTCAATCATGCAGCAAGAAGCAAAAAGGGTGCATGGTGCTGAGTGCGAAAAGAGGATGCGAGTGGAGCCTTTGGACCTAGGCCCAGACTCCGAAGCTTCTTGATTGCCTGTACGTGGCCCTCCACGGACAGTGTTGAGGAAGATTCCATCATCAAGGATCGGAGATGCAAGCTACGCCCATGACGACAATGTCTGCAGACTCGTAGCAACGGGTTCCTGGGAGTGCGGCGGGCGGTGGCTGCTTCGCACAAAGCTAGCGCAATCGATAGCATTAGTCGGGCGCAGCTCGTAAAGATGCTGGAGCTACCGGGCAAATGGTGTTTCACGACTCCACGGATGCTAAAGATGGAATTTGTCGACTGTGCGAATATTTTCTCTGTGCGCGAGTATTGGTTTGCTCCACCGGCCCCGTAATAGCATCGGGGAAAATAGACGCGATGGACCGCTTGATACGAGGCGCCGAAGCCGAAATTCCGCCAGCAAGTCAGGGCGTTCGGGCGGCCTGCTACGTATTCGCCTGGGGAGTCAGATACGACGACTCGTGCTGCGAGCAGATTTGGTGTTGACGGGTCAAGTGCGCAAGGGCGAGCGGGTGAGGTGCTGAAGACGGGTTAGGAGGACTGCGCCCCCAGAGCTTGGATGTGGGGTTCGCGGCGCGCTGTCGTCTACATTGTCCCCTTTTTGCGAGCTTGGGGACGGAGATAACATGGTTCCGAGCACCCGCATCGTATCGTGTAGTGTGCGTGCTCGAGAGTGCGGAACATGGCGGTGAGGGAACAGGTGCTGGCTACGTGCTCGGGTACCCTCCAGCGGCGTGATGGCGTGACGAGGGTACAGATCCTAATGCAGGGCAATTGACAGCGGCGATGCGATCGATAGAGTTTGACATGTGCAAAAGAATCTGCAGTCGGAACTACGGGTGAAAAGTGTGATGGTTTGTTTCGCAGTGGATTGAACTTGTGGATAGGCAATAATGCTCGCAGTAGTGCTCACAGGCGACTCGGCGCCGGGCTGGGAAGCATCTGACGAGTGGATGGGATCGGGGCATAAGCTTTTCCGGCAAGGCGGTTTGCGAGATTGGTTGTATGTACGACAAAGTTTATGTTGTGTCGGTATTGCAACTGCCAGATGAAGTGGCCCTGCTGTCCCGCTATATGCAGATGATGTCGTTAGAGTGCTGATCGTGATGGAGTGGATGAAGATCTGGAGAAACACGATTAGATTGGAAATATAGATCACGCAACATGGGCACACTGTATATCTGGGCCTCGATTTCCTGGCCATATAGTTTCGACATCACGACATTGCATGTACAGCGCGCGCGGAACAACCTTGAGCGTTCCTACCAGGCGGCTGCACACTGCCATCATTCGGGCAGCCGCACACGCCATCGGTAGCCCTGGCGATGGCGCATACGGCCAAGTTGTAGCTGGCGCTGGCCTGAGCGGGAGAGCGTGCGCGCCTGTGAAGGTGGCACGGCAGGGAGACGGCTACTGAGTCTTGGGAAAGTGCAGGGGGCCAGCTAGCGAGCTACGCTACCCATCCGCCGCTTTCACCGTCTCGGTTTTCTTGGTCGGAACATGGGCGTGTATATAGACTCGTGAATGCCCTCACTCTTGGGGCTCTTCTCCCCTCTGACGACATTTCCAGCTCGCCTGCTTGGTTCACGACGCTTCATTGTTCTTCGACTCACGACCATAACATCACACGACCAACTCTCCAACCTTCCCTCGCTTACACTTCGCCGACACCGCTGTACTACCGTTAGAACACAACATTTCAACTTGGAAAAACAAAACACGACAAAATGGACTACTCGCCAGCCCTATCCGTCAACAGCGACATGACAGACGAAGAGCTGGACAAGTACTTTGCGAGCTGCGTTCCGCTGTCCAACCTGCCAACCCCTCCACCAGCAAAGGAGCCCACACCCACGCGAGTATCAACGCCAACCGCCCAAACATCGACACAGTCATATGACACGAGCAGCCCTCCACAACCAAAAGGTTAGTCTATTTATTACCTCACACCCACCAAATCTCTGTTTACGGGTTTGTGGATGCTGGTGTGTATGAGTCGGTCCGGGCGGCAGAGCGACGTTCCCCTGCATAGAGCGCCTTGGCCCTCGTCATGCTTCATCCCAGATGCTCCTTTTCCAACTCAACAGTCTATCTCCACATTTCGGACGTGTGCCTGTCGATCAACCAGCACCCCTTCACCCAAGATCAATGCCGTTGCCACTTCCTTGATTTCGGTCCGCTGACTTGCTATCTATAGTATACGCAACCCACCTCGCCAACCTCGTGCCGCTCAACGTCTCCACCCACCGCCCTCATGCATCGGTCATTCAAGGATTCCTCGACCGTGCTGGTCTGCCGGATGAGATTGTCGCCTTTGCGGGATGCGTGCTGGATGCATTGAGCAGCCGGTTCGCAGCTACTTGGCGGGATGCTCTTGCGCCGAGCGACTATGCCCGCGACCTGAAGAACTTCATGATGACAGACTCGCGTCATAACGTGCATGTTAGCCCAGACGTGATTGTCTTGGCTGCTCTTTCCCTCGCGCACGGCTTTCTCGTTGACCGACAGCGCTCCTCACGGCACTGGAGCATTAGGGAGAGCGACGGTGCTTTCACCGTGCAGGAGATCGAGGCCACGAGGAGGGCTATCCTGCAGGACATGGACTACGGCCTTGCTCGCATCTCCAACGACATGGTGCAGTGGAGGCTGAAGAACATGCAGCGACCCAGCACAGCTCCTGCAGCCGCATCAACCCCTATCACGACCGTGATGAAGCAACGACGGAACCTCTCCATCAGCCTCCAAGGCACGGCCATCTGGAGCTACGGCGTTCAGACCCCAGAGCCCAGCCCGTAGAGCGGCGGTCTCCCATGGACGAGCAACGAATTCCGTTCCTTCGACTCTTTTTAATCGTTTTGCTGCGTACATTCACGATACCCACATCCTTTTGGCATCTTTCGCGATGCGCATCTCTCGGCGTTCTTCGGCATGGATCAGTTTTTCCTCTGTGTAGACAACAGGCTTGTTGTCACCTCGTATATATTTGTTTCAGGGTGGAGTTGAGTGGGTTTGGTGGCCTGATGCCAATGGTCTGTGTTTCATGTTTTGAGAACGCTATTTGTGTAATACCAGCTAGGAGGTTGGAGGACTGAGCTTGTTTGATATTCATCCCTACCGACGTGGTATGTAAAGACGGATTTAATCTACATTGGCACTTCGTATCGAGCAGCTCATACACGTGACGCGGATTCGTCGCAATCGCGTGAGATGTTCATAAGATCATGCGAGAAGATTGTGTGCAGATATCACGACATTTTGATGCTTTTGTTTACAGTGATCAGGTCAACGTACGATGGTGGGGCTGCAGCATCAACATAGTCTTCCCTGTTCCGACAAGATCCGCGCCGGCTGCAGCTTGAATGTGCACATTCCCCTCATGTCTATCGATTTCAGAGCTTGAAGTTTGTGCTTGTTGCGCACTTCGTTCGTTGGAGTTGATTAGGTACGCTCTCTAGGCTAGCATGGTGTTGTTGGTGTTGAGGGGTTGAAGACGTCACGTCGTCTGGTTCTGGCCATGCTGAAGATCACGCTTCGACGCGCAACAAACACACTAAAGGCTCAGCATGCACAAGTTTATTGGACAACGCGCCCATCACGACCCCGCTAACTGCTCCGCGACGGCATCGTGGGGTCGGCTACCCCACTTTGTACTGGCTCCGCGAGATGCTGCATACAGCTTGCATGTGGGAGAGCTCAACAGCTTGTTGCTCGCTGTCAGCCTGGCCAGGAGTGCTCCTTCCCCGCGATCCGCTAGCTAGTCGCTCCTGCTCTCCTGATATAATCCTGAGGGCCTTGCTGCGATGTTCAATTGATCTCCGCCCGTCTTACTCCACCCGGACGCCCTGTAAACACGCCATTGCCGTTGCTGCCGCTCCTCTTTCCTGTCTGGCGCGTAGCAAACACCACGTCTGAGGTACTTCTGCGGCGTCTTCATAAGCCTGCAGCTCTTGTCCGTCCTATCACATCGCCCTGACCTTTCTGCGGTTGCGCCTCTTACCTCCAAGCGGCAGCCATACGCCCCTCTACCCCGCCATCTCCTCTCTCTCATCGACACTCTCTAAGCAATTCGCGCTTCTCTGCAATTGACATTATCAAGATGGCCGCAAACCCTTCCCCCCGCGAGCGCAAGCCCTCGACTAGCGCTCCCCTCGGTGACCTCAAGGGTCCCGTTGGGCCTTCATTCACCCGTCCCAAGCACAAGAGGACGGTAACTGGCTTTGGCCCCAGTGAGATCAAGAACGTAGAAGCGAGCATCCCAGAGCCCCAGCGCGAGGCATGGAGAAAGTTTGTATGTCAATTGGATCCTCAATCATAGTACAAGGATGATTCTCAACACTAACACACGCATAGATGCCCAAGCCCTTCTCGACGCCAGACGACTTTACGAAAGACGCTGTTCGCCATATCGAGACTACCCTCGCACGCTCCCTCTTCAACTGCGACGAGTCTGCTGCCTACGCTGGAACTGCCCTCGCCTTCAGGGATCGCTTGGTCTTGGACTGGAACAAGACGCAGCAGAGCCAGACCTTTGCTGACCAGAAGCGTGTATACTGTGAGACTAGTGGGAAACTTGCTGGTAGAACAACCTCTAATAAATTCAGATCTCTCCCTCGAGTTCTTGATGGGCCGCGCTCTGGACAATGCCATGCTCAACGTTGAGCAGAAGGATATCGCTTCCAGTAAGTCCACCTCTTAGGACCTCGCGATTGCTTCTCTAACACACATGCAGAGGGTCTCAGCGATCTCGGCTTCCGCATGGAGGACATTGTATCTCAGGAGCATGATGCTGCCTTAGGAAACGGTGGTCTCGGACGTCTTGCGGCCTGCTTCCTCGACTCGATGGCTTCTCTCAACTACCCAGCCTGGGGCTACGGCTTACGGTACCGATATGGTATCTTTAAGCAGGAGATCGTCGATGGATACCAGGTCGAGGTTCCAGACTACTGGCTGGACTTCAACCCATGGGAGTTCCAGCGCCACGACATTGTCGTTGATATCCAGTTCTACGGCAACGTCAACCGCTGGCAGGACGACGAGGGCAAGCAACAGTGCTCGTGGGAGGGCGGCGAGATTGTCCAGGCTGTTGCTTTTGACGTTCCCGGTAAGCAGTCCTTCCATCACTTCTCACCTTTTCATTGACAAGTAAAGTTCCTGGCTACAAGACTGGCACTTGCAACAACCTCCGCCTTTGGGGCAGCAAGGCAGCCAGCGGCGAGTTTGACTTCCAGAAGTTCAACTCTGGCGAATACGAGAGCTCTGTAGCTGACCAGCAGCGCGCTGAGACCATCTCCGCTGTGCTCTACCCCAACGACAAGTGAGTAGTTCCATGGTTATGAGATATCATGTCTGACTAGCAACAGCCTTGACCGCGGTAAAGAGCTTCGCCTGAAGCAACAGTACTTCTGGTGCGCAGCTTCCCTCTACGACATCGTGCGACGTTTCAAGAAGAGCCAGCGCGCCTGGAAGGAATTCCCCAACCAAGTCGCGATTCAACTCAACGACACTCACCCGACCTTGGCCATTCCCGAGCTTCAGAGGATATTGGTCGATATCGAGGGCTTGGAGTGGGACGAGGCATGGAGCAGTAAGCAGAATCTACCCTCATACCCAAACCTGGATGCTAACAGCATATAGTCGTTCAGAAGACGTTTGGATACACTAACCATACCGTGCTTCCTGAGGCGCTCGAGAAGTGGTCTGTACCGCTCATGCAGCACCTCCTCCCGCGCCACCTTCAGGTATGTTCAATCACCTGATTTCTTGAGACCGTGCTGACTTTCGAAGATCATCTACGAAATCAACCTGCACTTCCTCCAGTTCGTCGAGCGTAACTTCCCGAAAGACCGCGAGATGCTGGGTCGTGTCTCCATCATCGAAGAATCGAACCCAAAGATGGTCCGCATGGCATACCTTGCTTTGATTGGCTCACACAAGGTCAACGGTGTAGCCGAGCTACATTCCGACTTGATCAAGACGACCATCTTCAAGGATTTCGTCAAGATCTACGGACAGGATAAGTTCACCAATGTCACCAACGGCATTACCCCGAGGAGATGGCTCCACCAGGCCAACCCCAAGCTCTCGGCGCTTATTGCGTCAAAGTTGGGCGGTCACGAGTTCCTGAAGGACCTCACCCTGCTGAACAAGCTAGAGGCGTTTGTTGACGACAAGGAGTTCCGCAAGGAGTTCCGCGACATCAAGTACGCCAACAAGGTGCGACTCGCACAATACATCCTGGAGAACAACGGCGTCAAGGTCAACCCGGCAGCGCTGTTCGATGTTCAAGTCAAGCGCATTCACGAGTACAAGCGCCAGCAGCTCAACATCTTCGGTGTGATCCACCGTTACCTCCAGATCAAGGCCATGTCTCCCGAAGATCGCAAGAAGCTAGCTCCTCGCGTGTCCATCTTCGGTGGTAAGGCTGCACCAGGTTACTGGATGGCCAAGACAGTCATCCACCTCGTCAACAAGGTGGGTGATGTTGTCAACAACGACAAAGATGTCGGCGACGCTCTCAAGGTTGTCTACTTGGCCGATTACAACGTTAGTAAGGCAGAGATCATCTGCCCTGCTAGCGACATTAGCGAGCACATTTCTACTGCTGGTACTGAGGCGTCGGGTACCAGTAACATGAAGTTCTGCCTGAACGGCGGTCTCATTATCGGAACCTGCGACGGAGCCAACATCGAGATTACTCGCGAGATTGGCGAACAGAACATCTTCCTCTTCGGTAACCTTGCCGAAGATGTCGAGGACCTCCGTCACAACCACATGTACTCTCAATACCAGCTGGACCCCCAGCTTGCCAACGTTTTCGATGCGATTCACAATGGCATGTTTGGCGATGCGGACCAGTTCTCTGCTCTGATCAACGGCATCGTGGACCATGGTGACTACTACCTCGTCTCTGACGACTTCGCATCGTACATCAAGACACAGGAGCTCATCGATGAGAGCTACAAGAACACTGAGGAGTGGACAACTAAGACCATCACGACGGTTGCGCGCATGGGTTTCTTCTCAAGTGATAGATGTATCGACGAGTATGCGGAGGCTATCTGGAACGTTGAGCCGCTGCAGGTCAAGAGCGAGCCTGCGCCGTAGACAGTGACTGCAGGGATGGTACATATCGGTGGCTTTGTGGTAGATTCTAGATGGTTGCGATGCTAGAGCCTTAGATCCGATGCCTTACATTTACGATGATAATGAGAAACTCGTTGCGACAGGATGACTTAGTGGTCGTGTGAAGATGCATGTGCTCTCTGACATTGTCATGGTGTTGAGCGAGCTGGACCCTGAAACGCCTGCTCCGAATGAACCTAGCGCACGGTCGCGTCGCGCGACGTACGTCAACCGCAATCTGGCCAGCTCTACGCCAGCTCGCGACATATCGACAGCCCTCACTCACAAGCAATCATGGCGAACCGCGGCTACGATGTCGTCGTAGACGTTGATCAAGAGGTACGTACCCCCTGGGATGCGACGCAGAAAAGCGCACATGCCCCCAGCATCCAGCTCAAGACGACAAGCTGACCAAACCCCAGGGCGACCTAGGCCATACCGACCTGCAAGAAGACCTCGAATTCCACAGCTCCAGTAAGCTTCTCCTCTTCATCACATACATTCAAGCATCACCTAACCCTCCACCCCTCAGACTTCGACACCCAACCCACCGGCCGCGGCGCCCCCAAAATCCAACCCGACTCCACGAGCGGCTCCTTCCTCCCCGGCCCCTCCACATCAAGCACCTCCCCCACCTCGCGCAAACACTACCTCTGGTCCCTAAACTTCTACGCCCAAGCCTTCGACGTCGACACCGCCGAAGTCCTGCGCCGCTGCACATCCACCCTGTACCCACGCGCCAATTTCCTCGACGTGCTCGAGGGGAACCCAGACTTGTACGGCCCTGTCTGGATCGCCACAACGGTTATCGTGATATTGTTTTTGACCGGAACGATTAATCAGTATCTTGCGCAGAAGGGCGAGGAGCATTTTGCGTACGACTTCAAGTTGCTGAGTGGAGCGGCGGGGCTGGTGTATGGGTATACGGCGTTTGTGCCTGTGGGGCTGTGGGGTGTGTTGAAATGGTATGGGAGTGAGAGTGCGAATTTGATGGAGTGTGCTTGTTTGTATGGGTATGCGAATTTGGTTTGGATTGCGGTTAGTCTGGTTGCTTGGAGTCCTTGGGGTAGTGAGTTTTTCCCTCTTTCCTTTCCCCATTCCTCTCCTCTCCCTCTCTTGTCTTTGCATGTCACCAGGAGACGTCGTACTAACAAACATCTCAGTTCTCAACTTCACAGTCGTAGCCCTCGGGCTCGCAGCCTCGGCGTTTTTCCTCCTCCGCAACCTTTACCCTGTGCTCAGCACCACCGAAGCGAAGACGAGCAAGATTCTGCTTATTGTCGTGTTTGTGCTGCATGCTGGGTTTGCGATTGCGATCAAGGTGCTGTTCTTTGCGGCGACGAGTCCCGTGGGTCCGAATAAGGGTGATAAGGATGCGGGCAAGGGGGTTGCGGATGGGGGATCAGAGGATAAGGGCGGTATGTTGAGGATGTTGATGGGTTGAGATGCGTTGGGTAGGGGATGAGCAGGTGGAGAGTGGTTGGGATTTGGAATGATAGCGTTTGGTAGGAGAATTATAGTAGGGCCTGAAGGCTACATCGGCTTAACAATGAGCAGACATTTTTTGAGAACGTAGCGAAGAGGTCTACGATGCTTCTCGTATGCGTAATCGCTAGACTCAAAGAAGAACGTTGAGGTATACGAAGCCCCATAACCTTTCCTAACTCCTCTGGAAAAAACGTTGAGGACATACCAGCTCACTCACATGATGCACAACAAGTCTAATTTAGGGAATGAATTCATTATAGCTACGTCCCATCCACCATGTATTACTTCACCCAGAATCTTACTTTGGAGTATACAACCGCCTTATCCTGAAACAAATCATCCTTCAAAACAACCATGTATGCTTCAAAACAAGATTAAGCAGCCTCCTCCTCATCAGTCAGCTGACCTGTCTGCAGTGACCAGGCAAGTTCATGGACGTTGGACAGTGCGTAACTAGCGTCCTGCTTGATACAGTATTTGACGCAGCGGGTGAAGATGCCGCCGTCAACGCCCTGCTCGGGGTGCTTCTTGAGCCCGTTGCCGAGATAGCGGATGTCGTAGTCAAGGACGCCCTCCAATTCGTCGTGCGGGTAGCGGATGAGATCGGTAGCAATCAGATCGTTGGCATTCTCGATGCCCTCGCGGAACTGGTCTGCCCAGTTCTTGCCGTACTTCTCTTTGCCCTTGTTGATAGCGGTGATGCACTTGACGGAACAGGTGTTGCGCAGGTAACCGCCCTCGAGGTTGCGGTGGGTGTTGAGCGTCTCAACCATCTGCGCGGGGCCCCATTTGCGGGAGTAGAGGCGGAGAGCGACGGTAGGACGGCCGAGAGACTGGAAGAAGTACACGATGAGCTCGGTGTCGGTCAGAGGAACTTGGGGTACAACGACGAAGGCTGGCGCCATGTTTCCTCGTGCAACGTGGGCCTTGCGCTTGGCGATTGACGTGTTACCACTGTTGCCGCGCTTGCTAGGGGTTGGAGGGCCGACGCGACCGGGGGTGAGGGGTGAGCTCGGGAGGCCGCCAGAGGTTGGTGTAGAAGGGAACATAGACATCATGCCGCCGGTAAGGTAGCCAGACTGTTCGCTATTAGTACACGATGATGGAAACATGGACATGTAGGACTTACATCTGGCTGACCAGAGGGGAGCGGGGCGATGGTAGGGATCTTGATGCCGGGGATCTTGACTTGGAGATCCTTACGGGCGTGAGTCTTCGTGGCCTTCTTCTTCTGGTTGCTGCCGACAATCTTGGTTTCGAAGGTCTCCTGGTCCTGCAGACCGGTGTTGAGGAATTCGAAGGTCTTGGACGGTGCGGGAACGCTCTTCACCGGGGTGCTTGGAGCCGACAAGGCTGCCAGACCAAGCTGGACGACAGTCTCTCGCAGCTCTGAGACCTCCGACTCGGCCTTGTTCATGCGAGCTGTAAGGCTGTTGACGACTTCACGAATGTTGCCGCTGAGGTCTACATGGCCCTCAACCTCTCCCAATTCTAAGATAATCAGTCAGCCTGGAGGATACATGAGGTGTTTTGGATGGGGGAGACTCACTACTTGGCGGATTGTAGTCGTAGAAAGGGTTCGCCATGTTGGGATCGAACTCCTGCTGCGCCATTGTCGGCTCCAAAGGGGGTTGGTTCATGTGCTCGAATGGCGGAAAGACCGACTCGCTGTGAAGTGGAGAATTAGCATTGTTTTCTTCCACATGCCGTTGCCATGGCAGACCTCCAAACAATGGAGGTGTGATGGGAACATCAAGGTCAACGGTGACCAATGGTGTGAACATACCTAGGGAGCTCGCGACCGACACTGTAATTGCGCGGTGAGCTGCCATGGTAGGCATCGTTGACGCTAGATGCTCTGCTGGTGTAGTCCTGGACTGCGTAGGCGAAGTTGGGCATCGGAACCTGCGGCTCGACCTCGTCCTCGAAGTACGCTGCTAGATTGGATGACATGTTAGCGCTGGGAAATGTTGCTGCAGGCAACATTGAGGTCCGGCTAGACGTCTGGCTGATCGGCATGAAAGTCTGGGGGCTTTCGTGGTGTTCAGCCATGCTGCTGAGTAGCGTGGTCTGGGATGGGATAGTCAAAATTGTAGCCGAGTTTGTTGTTCTCAGGCGCTCGGACACTCACCATATGCCATAACAACAAGAGACTGCAGCGAGGACCGTCGCCTGGTGAACGTCAAACTTGCTGCAATTCCTGATCCAGTCAGTTCACTGACTTGACTTCACCAATCCACCGCGGAGACGGCATACTCACCATGAGGCTCTAGGAGATGTGAAGAGCGCGCGACCACTGCTACAGGCACCAGAGAAGACAACAAAAGCCAGCAACGGTGATCTGGTGAACGTGAAACTCGCTGCGCATCCTGATTTGGTCAGTTCACCGACATGGCTTCACCGTGAAGACGACATACTCACCATCGAACACGAGGAGATATAGGCGATGCGTATCCGCTCTTGCAGCCACCAGAGGAGTTCATTTTCATCGTACTGATAGATGTGAACTGCCCATGCATGGATGTAGTGAAGGGCATGATGATGTTGATGCGGCAAAATGCGTAACGAGTGATGAGATATGATGAGTATGTAGGAAGAGAAGAGATGAAGCTGCAAAGTTCAGAATATATAGAGACAAGAAGGCAGAAGCCACGTCATGCCTCCATGATAAACGCCCACGAGGCTTCAGCTGAAAAACGTGGCAACCAGTACTCAATGGCCTGAAAGCGTCCGCGGTCGGTGTAACAAGCGGTGAGACGGATAGGTAATCCCAATGAAGGTGAGAGAAATTACGAGAGAAGAAGAGGGAAGACATCTTAGACAGCACTACCTATGCGCACAATGACCTGCACGGCAGGATGGTGGACATCACCGACTAGAAAGCGCGTCGCCACCCATTTACTGCGAGACATCTCTTTTTGTGATCTGCCAGCATATGTGCATGTCTTCACCTATGGTACGATGATTGCCAAATCCGAGGAGTCTCGTGCGGCGGGCATTGGACTGCCCAGGTGGGCTCCGGCCTATGATCAACGGGCGCGTTGTACGAGACCAGCCAGAATGCAGTCGCAAACGCTCCAGGTTTGATAGTGAGGGTGTGGAGATACCACGAGCGCGCGTAAAGTAGCTGGTGATGGTCTCTGTCGGGCGGGAGTGATGATGCGAAGAGGTTTGACGTTGGAAGTTCCCGAGGTCGCGTCGCGACATTCGGGGCACTAGTCCAAATCTGGCTGGTGGTCCCTTCCCAGAACAACCTTGGAACTCTCCAGGGCTCCGACCTTGGCGTCTCTACAATACACTCGAGAATTACGCCCTTTGGTACAATGACTGCGCTGATAGTATTGCCTACTCTGTTAGTCGGTGTAACCTCCGTCCAATCGGTCCCTGGCAGCGCGGAAGGCGTTAGCTCCCCAGTACTGCACCTTGAATGTGGTGTGATTGGGCGCTGCAGTCTGGTATCACACATGTCGGGAAAGGGTTAAGTACTGATAGTGCTAATCTCTCATACGCTCACGTTACCTACAGACATTGTTTGTTCACCTTCTGCTCCTCCTACAACATCTGGACATACCTAGGTATCGTTAGCACCATGCGATTTGACCCTGTACGCGAGAGCGACATGATGACTATGTACGACGCTACCACTGCGCCTCCAGACCGTGTTGAACTCTTCATAGGAGATTTTCTAATGGCAAGAGCTGAATGGGGCTTAGTTATGGGATAGTTACCAAGTGAAAGACGCACAAGTGGGTAACGCTCGAGCCGTGCAGTTACTTAGACCGGAGGTCAGACTTCTCTTGACTGATTTACTTGCTACAGGTACGGGCTAAACCGAACACCAAGTATGCGGGCTCTGGCGATCGTCTGTCTCCCGGCGCTCATAACTCTCGTGCAGAGCCTGATTGTGGTTCCTCCGCATCTCCAAGGACCCGATGTCCCTCCCCGTTCCTCCCACGGCCTCGTCGCTCGCGTTGACGATATCGATGTCATATACCACAAAGCCACATGCAAAGGCCAAAAGCTGCTGTCAGCAACAACCTCTCCGCATGATGCAGCAGCCGCCTTTGTCAACCCGATCGATAGCCCCTGGACCAACCCCATCCAACAGGAGCTTGAAACTTGGGGCTACAAAATCGAGAGTGACGATGGCACCCCCCAATTTCGCGCAAGTCATGGGGATGAGTGCGAGTTCGAGCACAGCCACAAGCTCAAGAGCATGTTCGACGACCTCAGGATTGATACGCGTAGTACCTACCAGGGTGGACCAAATCGGTGTTACTTTATTAACCATAAAGACGGTCCGGCAGTACGGCGCGATAATCAGGGAGATCTACCACCCGTCAAGCAGCAGTGGTATAAAGCCAACGACAACTACTATCGTGTAGGTGAAAGATGATGACGGTCCATCCAGGTCTTACTGACGACATCTTCTCTCTGTAGGTCACTGGCGCCGAGTTCACAATCGGCGTAAACGCAGCATCAGGCCTCATTGCAATGACCAATCGTCAGAGCCCCGCGACCAGCGCCCAAGCCCTCTGGGGCCTCGAAAATCCTCCGCCCAACGATGAGCTTCCCGCACTGAAATCGAGCTCGGATATCATGTGGGGACTGTGGAACTTGGCGAGTCCAAACAATGTGGGCGGTATCAAGTACATTCTTAGTACGCCCATCATAAACGACGAGACGGTCGCGATAATCAAGAAGATCTTACAAGACAATTGCCTCGACTTGGATGAGATAATGATCTGGTCGGGCTGCGAGTTTGGGTCAGATGATCCGGAATATCTCGCTTTGCTCGGTAAGTTGTATCTCGGTTCGACGTTCTGGGATTGGATTATTGACTTCGACTGCGAATCTAGGATCACCGAATGGACAAGCCGTTGGGTACTTCCTGGCGCAACACAAAGCCCAACTCGGCGGAAAATATGTGTCAAAGATCAATATCTTCAAGGGAGATGATCCACACATGGTTGCCGTCTGCCTCCTTTTCACGATCGATGACAGGGCTGGAGCTGCGAGGGCCGCTATCGGGGGTGTGTCGAACGGCAAGGGTCGCGTCGACGAGGCGGTAGTCGTGAAGCGATTCGGCTATGAGAAGAATATTGTGAGACGGCATGTTGTGTGGGCGAAGTTATAAATGGCTTGACACGCGTCAAGATGGCGTGTTTCGATGTACAGCTACGGCTTAGATCGTAAGATCTGGCTTCAAGGGCTCATATAGACCTAGACAGGGGTGTAGACTCGTTGGTTAAACGAATTTGTATATTTAATAGAGGAGTTTACAAATATCGTCACAAAAAGGTGACTTCCCGGACGGATGTCAGTGATGGTGTTGGTGGACAAGAAGCGTGGACGCGGATCGCAACCTCGGCAATCGCGCCGCTTATCGATAAGGCACGATTGCGAAGTTCAGGGTCGACATCGTCATCTCTCCATCAACTTATCATCCTCACAATGTCTGCAAGCGTCCTCATCGTTGGTGCCGGCGCCATTGGAGCCTTCTATGCCTCTCGTCTTGCCCTTGTCCCCGGTACCTCCGTCTCGGTCATCTGCCGCTCCAACTACAAAGCCGTGAAAGCGAACGGCTTCCAAGTTACCTCACCGCAATACGGCGATTACACCTTCGTACCGGCCAACACCTTCGCGAACCCAGATGAAGCAAGAGCGAGCGGCATACAATGGGACTTCATTGTAGTCAGCACCAAAGCGTTACCCGACGTGAGCGATGACTCGACGATACTTGAGGGGTTAGTCGGCGATAAGACGGCCATTGTGCTGATACAGAATGGATTGGGTGTAGAAGATCCGTACGCGAAGCGATTCCCACAGGCTGCGATATGTTCGGCGGTCACGATAGCAACCTGCGCGCAACCCGACCACGGCCAGATCAAGCACAACAGATGGACGCGGATAAACAGCGGACCGTACCTGCCCCATCTAGATACTGGGAGCCGAAAAGATAGCGACGTACGCGTCGTCTTGATGAATGACGCGTTCATCGAGATGCTGAGGCAAGGAGGCATCAAAGACGCCGAAGCCTACAGCCATGCCAAACTGCAACTCGTCCGCTGGCACAAGATCGCCATCAACGCCTCCATGAACCCAACCTCGGTCCTCACCCTTTGCCTCCCGAACAACGTTATGTCTCTCGACCCAGAACTGCAACGCCATCTCAAAGGCGTCATGACCGAGATCCTCGAAACCGCACCCAAGATCCTCGGCGAGCCCATGCCCAAGGAGTTTGCGACTCCCGATCAGATCATTCGGTCTACACAAAAGAATACAAGCGGTAGTAAACCGAGCATGGCTATCGACTGGGAAGCGGGCAAGAAGATGGAGATTGAGGTCATTCTTGGCAATCCGTTGAGGATTGCGCGGGACAGGGGCCATGAGATGCCGCGCCTGCAGAGTTTGTATGCGATGGTCAGGATGGCGCAAGAGGTCAGAGACCAGAAGAAGGACAACAAATTGTGAGAAGCGGGGTTGTTCCCGTTGATTGATCTCTTAATTGCTCCCTTTGTGTGTGGTCTGCCTCATCTGGGTAAAACGAGCTCCATCCCAAACTGCAAACTTCATGTCGACAGGGCCGCAGGCAACCATTTCATTCGGCCGTACTGATATATACTTCCTCCTGCCATGACACTCATAAGTTTGCAAGAAAGATGATATATGGCAGTAGATTGCTCGAGACTCTGCTCACAACCCTGGTGCAAATGTTTCAAAGAGATCCGTGTCGTCATAAGAGGTGGTTGGGAAGTGAAGGTGAACGCAACGACTTCGAGATCTGCCACCATCACCAGAAGTAGGACTCAGTTTTCCAACCGACCCATTTTGACTATCCCCTCTTGTTGAGCGATATTATTGCATTTGAAGAAGCCGATAGTGGTGCGGGAGGAGGGCAGCTCAACCTTGGAACGTTGCGACCCTATTGAGCGACGCAGAACCGTGGTATCACAATAGCAAAGTACATAAGGTGAAGGCGCCCCTCGCCAACCTCTTTTTTTGCGAGCCGAAGACAATAGCTTGAGTCAGCTGCCTCTCGCCCCGGTCTCTCCTTCGTATCCTCCACGGCTTTTCTTTCTCAATCACCGATTACAACTTCCCTATCTACATATCGTCGATCATTATTGCCGCAGACAAGATGAGCAGGCTCTCTGATCAGCAGTTGCAAGCACAGTGGCTCAGCAAGGCGAGCCCTGACCAGCGACAACAGTGGTTCAATAAGGCGCCACCAGACCAACAGCAATGGTTCCGCCAAATACAGCGTGCTAGACAGCAACAAGGACAACAGCAGCAAGTACCGCGCGAGAGCAATCAACACCGAGAGAATGCGGCCCGGAGCCCTTCTATCAACAGCCTGAACGGAGCAAGGTCGTCTACCTCAAGCCCACTGGCTGCACCCTCAACGATGGCCACCTCAGTGACTACCGCTTCGCCTCTGAGTACGACAGCAGTGCGAGAATCCACGAATGCATCCTCACCTACGCGAAACGAAGATACAGCGACGCTGGGCGCCGTCTCACCTATTTCTATTGTGCCACGCTCGATGCAAGCACCGAACGCTAGCGGAATTCGACATCATCAACAGAACAACGCTTTTCTCGCTTCTAGGCAGACTCAGCCGCGCATGCTACCCACGGACGACGTCGCTCGCTACCAGAAATCCCCACCCAGACAGAGCCCTTCTCATGTACAAATGAAGCTGCCACCCTCCCCGACACGGCCAGGGTCATCGCCATCCGCGCACGCTGCAGCATATCCCGCCAGCATGAGCCAGAAACGTCAGGCTACAGAAGCCCCGGAAGGCGACATACATGCAGGCAAGAGACAAAACACAACGCAAAATGCGATGTCACCTCCCGCCGTGCCGTTCGCTCCCATCGGCCACAACAACGATCCTCTCAACCCAGGGCCATACAATCGTATGAGACCGGTTGCATCACCCAATGGGATTGCGGCACCTGTCAACCGGATGACCCCCGACGACATCGCCCGAGACCGTCGCCTCCAGCAGGCCAAGCTCGCAGAGCAGCGCGTTCGGGTGCAACAAGCTCACGACGCCGAGAAAGCCCGCGAGCGAGAGATCTATATTGCCGCCACTGCCGCAGCTCTCAAGCGCGAGCAAGATGACGCGCGAAGGGAGTTTCTGCGCAAAGATCCCAGCGCAAACTACCGTCACATCCTCGAAGTATACGCATTGTCACCGCTAGACCCCAAGAAAGACGAGTACCCGAACCGGTACCTAACTGGCTTACTCGCGAATCGCGTCATGCCCATGGACCTCGATTGCGATCTTGCGCTTGCGATCGTGTATGCAAAGGATCATTGGGATTACTTCGGTCAGTGGCCCAAGGATATCGAGCGCTTTGCGGGCTATGAGAGGGAGAGGAGGGATAAGGCGGCAAAGGATCGGGCTTAGGGGACCGAGAGGGCGCCGCGTGAGTGCTCTGGACCTGATCGTGCGAGCTCAGAGGCTTTGGAGGTCTTGGAAAAACGCTTGCGTCCGATGCTTCTGGAGTTTTTGAAGTATACGGTGTAGCGTGAAGTGATGGAAGTAGCTTGGAGAGGGATATGTAGCCGTCAGGGTGCACTCAACTTCGGGATTATTCAGTTCACGAATATCAGGCCTAGGCCCATAGTACGAGCTCCTCGTGACTGCAATTTACCATAAACAGAGTGAATACTGGAGATAACTGGGTCTAGTCTCTCCAGATCACGGGGTCTGACGTTATTCTCCCATATCACCTCGGGGCCACTTCTCGTTCCAATAGTTCACACACCCACCGTCTGCACTTCAAATCGAGAACCATCGTGTTCAGGTACCCGCAGACTCCCATATTACCATCCTCACGACGACATCCCAACGACAGCCGCGATGGCCGACCAGCTCACCCAGATACCCGCCTTGGTTACACCTACACTTCAGCGTCACAACAAGAGACGCCGCTCTACATCGATTGCGCCAGAGCAAGCTGTTTTCCTTCCTGGCGCCGGCCCATCGAACGATGAAAACGATCCGACAACCACTCCACACGGACAGCGCCACCCCGACGACACCACTATACATAAGCGCACAAGGAAAGCCCATGGGTCCAAGCGCCGACGTATTGCTGGCGACTTCAATCCCGTCCACGGCCCTGGTTCCCCCCGTTCATCCGACTTGAAAGAGGTGCGATCACAGATTGCGCCGACTGCAAACCCATCAAGCATTGATCCCGTCTCAGGCGGAGATCATCCCAACAAAGACGTCACCGCCCTCCCCGTCGACTATATACCATCTCAATCCAAGCCCATGACCAATACCATAAAGCAGACATCAGGTCGAGACAGTAAGAAGAAGATCAAAGTCTGGGAAGACGAGCCGCAGCCGTCTAAGCCCAAAGACCCAACACCCGCCGCGGCAAAGTTGCTGCAAGATATTACTAATACCGGAGCTCAACGCAGATGTCGCCGCGTAGAGGGGTATACGCCGCAATTCCGCGCGCAAGAGGCTGATTACTATTATCATCCCAATCTCAAGGACTTCCACTTTCCACAGGACGTCGTCGCATCCACTGAGAAGGCTGTCGAAGAAGCGGCTCAGAGTGAGCTTGACGCACCCATTGCCGGAGCGACACAGAGTATCAAGGATGCTCAGCCAGAGGTTACAAAGTCATTGAAGCGGAAAGCCGATGGCGATCTTCGAGAGCCTAGTGCAAAGAAGCTGAGGAAACTTAATGGCCAACAGCCTTTGCCTTGGATAGTCCATGGCAAGATCCGACATGATCCAGTCCAAGACTTTGAGTCTGAGTACTTTGCTATATCGACACCGTCGCTACCCTCAGAGCCTGCGGAAGATGTGGTCAACACTGCAGAACCGGATCAATCCCAGCAAGAGATACATGCAGCGCTCGAGGCAGTTGAAGCTCAACAGTTGCCAACACCCATCTCCGAGCCCGTATCCAACGAGGTGTTGTCGCCTCCTATATACTACAAGCTGAAACCATCCAACATAGTCCATGTACAGGGAAGCGATGAGCCAGCCCTGGACAGAGTAGAATCAGGATCTCTAGATTTGGATGCTATCTTGATGGGAATGACACAAAATGATGCATTCCCCACCGTCGAGAAAGGTGCTCTTAAAGGATTCGGTACCTACAAACCACCGACACCACAAGAAGATGACATCCCCGCCTGCAACAAAGCTGCATTCGCTGGCTTTGGTACCTACAAATCACCGCCACCACAAGACGATGAATTCCCTGCCGTCAAAGAAGACATTTTTACAGGCTTCGGTACCTACAAACCACCGCCACCACAAGATGATGAATTGCCCGCCGGCAAGAAACCTGTATTCGATGGATCTGGTACCCACCAACCACCACCACAAACCGTTGCTGCTGCACCTCAGCCCGCTCCAAAGATTGTGACCACAGTTCCCTCTCTGATAGACATGAACAAACAGGCCATCATCAAACCGGGCGTAGCCTACAGCGAAGGCTACGACCCAGGAAATCCGCAGAACTTCAAGCACTACCTCGCTCAGTTCACCGATCGACCTGCGGTTCCGCGACCACGAGAGCGCGAGTATCGCCCAATGCCAGAGATATTGGAAGTCGAGACTCTAAACCAGCGGTTAGACTGGGTAGTCCCGAATGGGGCAGAAGCTCCCCAACTTTTCCGCGATATGCCAGCACCACCACCTCACATCGACTCAGAGTTAGCTCGTTGTGTTCGCTTCGCCCAGTCCGACGCGCAAAGACGCGTCAACTGGCGAGCTCATCCCACCCATGTCGCCGAAATCATCCAGCGCACCAACTTCTACGGAATGGAGTTGCTGGTCAGTCGGAGCGAGATGCGCATCTCCTCACCTCCAACGGCAGACGAGTTCGAGCTAGCCATGGCGACTCGGCTTGCGCATGTATCCTTCGGCATGGACACGAAGGACTACATTGCGGCCGATGTGCCGGCTATCATAGAGTACTTCAGCGAGAATCTTCCATCGGCGATAAGCGTCTTTCCAACAGAAGAGGAAGACTGCTTCCGCGCCTTCACGGACTATTATCGCGTGATGTTCGAAGAGAACTATCCATCACTGAAGGCTGTCGGCTTGCCAGAATGGCAGGCTTTACTGGATGCGGAGGAGGGCAAGCCCTCTCTCAAAGCACAAACTCTTCGAGGTATTGTCCAGTCCATCAAAGGACTGGATTCACACTGCACTGGCGATACAGGCAGGACAGATATCTTGAAAGATCAGCTGTTTCACGAAAAGCCTGACACGGGAAGCGAGCATCTGAAAAATGCTCGTCTGGAACTTAGCCAGACCCTAGGCCTGAGTAGGGACAGCTTCGACGGAGACCTACAGTGGCCCGATCAGCTGACCAACGCCGCTCTTCCGAACGTGACTCAGAGCGAAGAAGTGCAGCATTACGATGCAAACTCAGCTTCTTACTGGAACAAAGCGGAAGTCACAGGAGGATATGTCCATTCTTTTGTACCCGAAGTAGATGCAAGGGTTGAAGATGTGCACGACGATTACTATGACCCAGAGGGCTGGTTTCGCCCCGATCCGAATGCGCTGATGCCATGGGATTCTGGGCTGGATGCCATACCACAAGGCTTCAGCGCTGCTCCATTAGACTATGGTGCTATAGGGGAATACTTCAATCCGTCGGCATTCGGCGCGTTCAACGACGCTGAGCCGGAAACATTGTTGTAAGGATCTCGGGCCTAGATATGTCCAATCGAGGATTAACAGATGTATTAACGGTCTTTGTGCCGTATTTGGTTGGTGTGGTAGTGGTTGTGACTCTTGTTCGATGAGGGCTTCTCGCCTTCAAACACGGACATTGTGAGTGGCTCGCGGTCGCTAGCGCCGAGGGAGGATTGAAGCAGGCACCAAGGTTAGCTACAACGTGTGTTGTATTTCACAAGGATACTATTGGATGTGTACGTTAGCAGAAGAATACATTGTTCCAAAATTTTTATCACTTATTAAACTTCAGTGATGTGTGTGCAGCAGCTTACGATACAGATTATAGCTACCTGGATTGCAGGTGCCAGCGCAAGCATAATCGAAACAGGGGCGATGAAAGCGCCTGCAGGAGAAGTGCTGGCTGAGGAAAGCTTGAAGGCCGCTTCCATCAAATCCTGTGCCTTGCGACGGACGGCATTGGCCCTTCTTGTTGGTGTAGTGTCGGCCATGGTGCAACAACACTCGTACCATGGATGGAGATCAGCCTCAGCGACTTCCACAGACTCATCGAACGAAGACAAACCAGAGTTCCAGCGGAAGCTAATACTAGCACAACAAAAAATCATTTATCTTCATGTCGATTATCGGACAGTACGCCATTCTCCTTCCTTACCACCTACCTTCCTTCCAAGCGCGCATTGAAGCCACCTTACCATGACTCCACCACGTACAGCGACAGCACTACATATCGAAACCGGTACCAAGCCGGCCCCGGCAAAGAACCCACGTGGTCGACCACGCAAAGATGGGTTGCCGGCAGGATCAGTACCCAAAAAGCCCAAAACGTCAGGGCGAGCGCGTGCAGATACTCCGACGGAAATCCAAGGACAGCCTGAGAAACGAGGCCCCGGTCGTCCACCCAAGAACAACAAATCGCAGGGCGCCAAAATTCCATCAGCAACGTCGTCATCGTCTAATCCCTATCCACCAATGAACCCCATTCCAAGCCGTGGCCCACAGGAGGGCAGTCTCATCGTCTCTGCGACTGAAGAGACCTCCAATATACAGATCACGGTTACAACCCCGAGTGACGTGACTGTGCGCTGCAGTGAGGGAACGGACATAAGTGAACAAAGGATTCAAGATACTCTGAGGTTCCGGGAAGAGGCCGAAGAAAACCAGAGGCTTGGTTTGGAGGTCAGCCAATGGAAAAGGCAGAGGGAAGATGACGCATTGGAATTCGAATTTGGCCTGTTCGGATACAATCATGGACAGGACTTGGAGCCAAGTCGGAAGCGCGTAGCATTCGCGGACGAAGAGGACGAAGAGGACGAAGAAGCCGAACAAGAAATCGGAACAGAAGAGTCGAAAAGAAGAGCGGAACGTCGACGTCAGAAGAGAGAATGTCGAGATTATGGCTGCTATGAAGGGGATTGCAGAATCGGCCATGCAGTCAGAGCGAATGTCGCGCGTTACATGGTGAATCTTGACGAGCGCACGGAGGCGTTGCGGACCGTGGTGGTAAAGACGGATGATGAGGTGATGGAAGAAGGGACAAGGCCTATGGTGTACGACTACCCCTGGTTGATTGCACGATGATAGCAGTAACGGAGGAGGAGCTGTGTTCTCTTCTGGTATCGTCAATCTAATAGGTTCGAAGGCCTGAGGAGGTATGCAGATAACATCAGCTTGACTCTTTCGCGCGTGCTGATATGAGAATGGATCTAGCAACACTCTATACAGCACGAGTAGGCTGATTCTATGCCGTAGCCAGCATCTTACTTTGGCCCATTTCCAGAAGTCGGCGCGATGTTGAAGGTGCGTGTGAGAGCTCCTATTTTGTGGGTATCGCTGGGCTGTATAGGCAGAGTGTCGACATCGCAAGGAGATCAAATGTGGATGACGAACAAGATGCAGCGGTTGGGGAAGTATATGAGCATTTACATGTACTGCGCGCAATGTGTCGCGATGCGCGTTGATGAAGACGACTTCGACCTCGAAGGTGCACACCTGGGCAGAATTCGCTACCACTTACGCTAAGCCATATACGGAGAGGTCATAATTAGGATATGAACTTTTACAAAGTGCACAGTCTCTCTTATTCCTCTTGTAAGACTCTTGTCACGGAAATATCACTTAAGAATTGAAACTCCCTATGCCTCGACTTGTTTGTTGGGGAAGATGAGATGTGTCTCACGTGACGCCAAGCTACCACGGCAGCCCCACATCGACGAATTGTCCCGTCCCTCTCCGACGGCAAGCTTCGACGCGTCAACGCGTCTCTTTCACACACGAAGCTCAGGCGCGATGCGTTTGAGCAGACTAAGGACGCGTATCCAAAGCTGTTTATGTACTTCGCAAAGCTACGATCAACGCGTCTTGTCAGTGTCACAATGTCCTTTACAGGATGTCTAGCACCAATACTCCTGGTGTCATCCCCATCGCACCTACTACAGACGTCCCGTCGAAGTCTCAGTACGGGATCTTTAGATGGCATAAGAAGATCACGACCATCGCATGTTTGTATCAAGGCGTCCCGAGGTCCGCCCAAGCCATGGTAGTGTTCACAGAAGAGAGAGCAGGCGAAAGAGCATGGGCGTGTGGGGTATTGGATCCCACTGATAGGCGCGTCAAATTCTTAGGTTCACTTCTGACATTGTCGAAGGGATATCGTCGTACTGCATCGTTCGATCTGTCTACGGTGCTTGTCACATTGGGTATGGAAACATGTACCGCAAGCATGAGAAAATTCAGCGGAGCGAAGACAGGGAGGGACTTTGCATGAGTACATCGAGTATGCGACGAGATCTTTCGATCCTGACGTACGCGGTATCGTCGGCAAGTACCTTCAACTACAAAGGTCCAGCGCAAGACCTGGCGCCTCGAGTTCGAGGACTTTGGATGCAACGACATACCTTCTGTTCTATCTTGTCCTCGGCGGCGTACTGGGTCACACTGGCCAACCGAGTGTATCCGCGATCAAGCTCTGTCGATTCGGGTGCGACCGCGATACTCAACAATGAAGGCGAGAGAAAGTCGAAGAGACGTCAGGGTCCTCTGTCATTCGTTATCTCTGACTCGATACCGATGTCGCCATTGCTCCTTGAGCAAATATCCTATTTCCCTGACGTCACCAAACGGTATTATCGAGGATCACAAGTCCTAATATCGCCTTAGACGCATGTTTCCGGAGTAACGCAGGCAAGACTGAGTCACTTACCTACCGCAGTTGGCCAAATGAGCCATTTTCGGCCCCCACGTGGTTATGTCCAGACTGGCGAACGCGGGGATTGTTTCAAACTCACCACCAAGATTCTTGATGTTAGGTTCGAATTGGTCCATTTTCGTCAGTGCGGCGTTTCGTGCTCATGTTTTGCAGACCCTCACGTCCGAAGCGCTAGCACATTATTCAAGCGATAATTGGGTTGCATCTTGCTCTAGCTTTGAGCCAAAGCGCCTCTCCATGCATCTGCTAAAGCCGTAAACAAAGGTTTCGTCGTCCGCGGCTGCCAAAGCATTGCAACAATATATAGTTGACGAGGCTCGCATCTATCAGCACCTTCTATATACCTGACTTCGTCGAATCACCCGTCTTACTCTATATCAACCGAGTTGCAGACTCTCGTCCAGTAAGTTCCATACTTAGCAGTGCAAGCAATTCAAGCATCGCTCAAACCTCCATCCGATTGCTACAACGTTTCCTATACCAAACGCTAATCCTTGTATCAAAGGCACAATGGCGAGCAATCCGAAGACTCCTTCAGCCAACTCATCTCCGGTCAAAGGGGCTAGGGTTGAGAAACCAGCCACCATGAGCAAAGCACGTTCGAAGAACAAGGACGGCTCGATCCACGCCTCCCCAACTGATATCTTCGGTCCAAACGCTGTTACCCGGTATCTCCGCATCCCGCAAACCGGCAACATCACCGGTGCGGAACTGATGACGTTTCTTCCCGCGCTGATTCGTAGCCCCGGCGTCCTTGTTCGATTCGTCCAGAACGGTGGCGATGCCTACCCCATCGTCAGGATCCACAAATGGTTTCGAGTCGTGGTGAAGAACAATTCTCGGCAAGACGCCACCAATGCCGTGATTCACTTGGCCCAGGGAACGATGCGACACTATCTTCAGGACGACCAATGGACTATGACTCGCCACAAGGCCGGTCTTTACCCAAAAGTCGGCCAGGCTTGGGACCACGATAACTTGACTCTTGCCGGCGTCCAAAACCACTGCGAGATCCAAGTCCCGGGTAGCCGTCACCATAAACCGGTCGTCGCTAATGTTCATTTCGCGTCACTGGCAGCTGACGTTACGGTATACCCATCCGGCGACGACGAGCTCGATCTAACCCGCTGTGTCAAGGCCGCTGTCGCCAATATCGACCTGCCGCTGATGTTTCCACGAGACTTTAACTTCCTCACTCAGCTCTTGGGTGGTCCCCGGACGGTACTCCCTGGTCATCGAGATGGTGCGCTGTTTGGTCGTTGGAGGACGATGGCGTGGGAGCCGATGCCCGAGCCGGAGGCGATCCAGGCTGCGACAAACCTCACGCATCACATGTTCACAGCAGCACAGCGGACGGCAATCGTGCAGCATCTTCAGCAGTTCCCCGTTGTCCAGGCGTTTACGTTTGTCCAACCGGCTACTTCTGTCCAGCCCCCCGTCCCCACGCCTCGCGGCCCTGTGATGGTGACAAACCACGCTGGCCCTTCTCGCGCACAAGCTCCTGCTGCAGGCAGCGGTCTTTCATCTATTAACTCGTTGATCCTTAGTCGGATCATGAACAACACTGCCGCCGACTTGTCACATGTCCTGGCCACTATACAAGAGGATCAATTGTACGCGTTGTATGTCAGCGTCTTGGCCGCTAACGGTATCGTACCTATTACGCGCCGCGAGGAGCACATAACTGGCCCGGACGCTCTAGACAACTCCCTTGCAGATGATCGTAGTCTTCCCGACCTTATCGAACCAGCTGCACACGACACCAGGGCTGTATCTCCATCTGGCCATTGGGACGACG